AGAGATGGCCGAGAGTACGACTGCAAGTATCAAGAAGAGGGATGATCAAACGATGACTTGATGGGAGCTGCAAAGTTTGTATCGGGGCAAAATGACTCGAACGGCGAAGACAGAGTCCAGTCTGGTCTGGTCGATATATATGCCAGTTGGCATGTATGGAAAGATCAAGTGGCATCGTGCAGGTGGCCAGCCTGGTTCCTTCCACCACACCGCCCTCTGTGATAAGGCCGTCTGGGAGCCTAACATTGAAACCCCGACATTTTCGAGGGGGTGTGAGTATAGTGCCACCTGTTGACACTGGCAACTGGTGTCTGGTTTCTGGTTGTTGGCTCAATGTCAACTTCGTTCATCTGTACAGGTATGATGCAGGCCTACTGCTGCTGCCTAGTTCTGCCTGAGGTCCGTCCGTGCAGATTTGCATCCAAGCTCCAATGTTACAACAGAACCAACAGTACCAGACTCCATAGATGCCAGACATGTACACCGTAGGATTGACAAGGAGACAACCCCATTGTGCACATGAGCTCTGCGGCTGTGCAACAAAGAAAAAAGCCTGGTTGGCAAGACTGTCGAGTGAGGCTGAGCAGGCCATCCCCAGGCGGAAGTTGGGGCCTCATGAAGAAGAGGTCTGCATCGTCGGAATTCTGCGCGAACCGTTGCCATCTTTGTCGTCTTTGAACAGCGTATCGCCGTGGGTGTAGAGCATTGCCGTTGAGAGTGGGGAGCAGGTTTCGGGTAGATGCACCTCTGAGCAATGAAGGTACATATGTAGTTTCCGAGACCATTTCACTCGTACAAAACGTCGCATGCAGCAACTTGTGGCTACTCTTGCGTCGAGTGGTTTCCCCGTCAGGGATGGGTGTTGATAGCAGAGTGACTCTCTGAACCTCGTAACCCTCAGAGGTGTTGAGTCTCCTTTTTGGGAATGTTATGTACTCCTGGTGGATCCCTATTAGCCCGCGAATTGGTTCCTCGTGATTGGTCTCTGACACTTTTAGAGCAGACATTAAAACCAACATTGAAACCATATTAATACATGTGCTTTTCAGCGCAGGATCAATTGGCCATGTACGCTGTCAAGTAGCCTCAAATATTGGCCTGTCCGTGCCAAAACCCCAATCTTTAAACCAGCTGCCGTATCCCTTGGAGGTTGGACAATGCCCCAATTAGTTGTAGCGGAGTAAACATGGTCTTTACCACTTGGCTTGTTCCACAGGACATATCTATCATACATCCATACATGTACCATCTTATATGGCTCAGACCCATTGTCCTTTGTCGTAAAGTCCAACTGCGCTACCACCTGGCTCTGGAAGCAGGTCATGAGATGTTGCGAACAGCAGTCATGTCTTTGGGCATCTTGCTGCTCACCGAGTCTCTCGCGTACTTTGCAGATGAGTATGACGCAACCCAACACCCAACGCCGCTCCAGCTGCACGTGCAAGTGTCAGGGTTGCAAGCAGATGCAACGATGCAGCCATTCATGTTTCACGTCCTTACCCTAGTAGCGCCCATCCCGTGCTCTGTACGCAATGCGAAAGCTGCCGCTGGGAGCAGGTCTTTTCGGATCTTCCTGTTGCCGTGAGCTCGCGTTGTTCAAACAACTCTGTACTTGTGCGTTGTCACTTCCAAGGAGGTGTTGAAGTTATTTCTTCCAGATAAATATGCGGGCCGCTGTCCAAGACCATGTGTTTACTTTGAATGTCATGATAGTATAAAACATCCCAGAAAGAAAGGAGACTGCGAGGATTTGTAAGGCGTAATTGACGGCACATCAAGTATTGGATACAGTCATGACTGTCAACAAACTATGCAGACAAGTAGCAAACAGCAGCAGTAGACATGAGCCATAAATGGGCTGGGCCCTTCTCGTCACTGGATGATTGGCCTTGTCCCTTTATCAATCAATCAACTCAGAAGACCTTGCAGCCAGGCCCAAATTTCAGTCCAAACCCCCTTCACCGTCTGCCAGCACGCCCTCACTTGCTCCCAAACTTGACTGAGCCACTCAATTACCACCTCAAAGATTCGTTCAATTTGAGTGAGAATCTTGGACCAAAACAGCATGAACCCGTTGCCGAGGATATCCCAAAAATCGGCGGCCCGCTGCTGCTGGTCTTCGGGGAGGCCCTCAATCAGAGCCAAAACTCTCTCCGTGCTCGCATCAATATTGGCAATGGACTCTGCCTTCATCCTTTCTCCTTGTGCTTTGACCCGCTCTATAGCAGTGGGTTTATCCGCATGGCCACTCTCCAGGTCATCGGTGACGGACTGGTGCTCATCAGTGAGACCCGAGTGGTGGTTGGCTTGGTCCTCCATGACCACCTTGACCTCTGGGAAGTCATTGGCCATGGACTTGAGCTCCTTCTCGCTGTACTTGGACTTGTCATCTTGAATCTTGGAGAAGTCTCCGGTTTGGATGGCCCGTTTGTATGTGGCCGCGGAGTTGAGAATCTGAGCTTTCCACGAAGACATCGTGTCTGTATGTACTAAGTCACAAGTCTCATTAGCCATAATATACAACAGTATTTGAAGGGGGGAGATTGGAGTAGGGGCAGAGGGAGCATACAAACGTGAGATTACTGTGGTGTAGGACTAGCAACTGGAGTGAACAAGATTTCAGCGTTTGAATGATGGTAAAAGAAAGTGTAAAGGAAGCAAGCCGGATAGTGCTGTGTGGCCTCCTTTATATGTTGTTTTTTTACTTCAATGTTGCATTACAGGACATCGACTACCACCCCTCTCTAGATGTCTCTCCCCTTCGTCTTCACTAGTCTGAGACACGAGCATCCAGATGCAGGCAAGTTCGGCACTCTGTGTGTGACTCTACGCGACAAGGGCAAGGCGTTTGGCCAAGTCTCAGCCTTCCATGTCTCCTTCACCGCATCTCGTACATGCTGGGCACACTGACCGAGGTGGGGAAAGATCGATCTATTGATAGGAAAAAGCAACAGACACGACCCGAGCCCGAGCCTGAGCCCGAGCTACTTGTCGGCGCCAAACTGGCGATTTGCTGCCCAACAGCTCGCCCGAGGACACTAGCATGCATGTGTAGCTGGCTGAACACCAAGCTACGAAAGGCGACGATCCATACTCTACCGCTGCAAGTGAACGCATTCAGCATATGCGGGGTATTTCGGCTGCCAGAACGGGGATGTCTAGTAACACCGGTCACCAGTAACTATACTACTACGAGACGTGTCGTTGCTTGTATTAATGGTCCATCTCATATGGTGCCGTTGGTGCATTGTCCAAGGATGAAAAAATGCTGGTATATCGTAGATTTCTTGTATACACACCCCAGTCAACATGAGTGCGGGAGGAGTATCAAAGTCATGGGATGAATTGAGGGATTAATCCATACAGCAGCAGAACCTGTAAGAAGTCACCAGCCGAAAGGCAGGTCAAGGGGTCTTTATTTCGGTGCAACCACACTTCTCGGTACTCGGTAACGCTGTTTGGTTTAACCTCTTCTACCCCTGTGGTTGTCTTTCTAGTTACATCTGGTTACGCTGTGGAACAACCAACGTGGCACAACATACAATCTGCGGCAGAATATATTTGCACACAGAGAAGTATACACTACTGCACTGCGGCATGTTTCAATATGGAGCGCGATAGCCAGTTACCTGATATTGTTCAATACTTTTTGTCTCCCACTATAACTTAACCTCTGTGTAGCGGGTGGTTTGTTTACGGCCGCATATGTGTGCATATGGATCTCAACAGCCATTTGCAAGCTGAGCCTCTAAATGTTGCCACTCGAGTCCGGCAGTGTGCGTGCTGATCCCATCGTCAGAGACTAGAGGGTAGTTTATCACTTGACAAGTGTGATAAGGGCTGAGTAGAAGGCGAAAGCAAATTCTTAAAAGCAAATGCTTAAAAGCAAATACTTAATTCATTCAGTAACCGGCTTTATTTTTAAAGCCTCTTCACTTTCTTATAACCCTTTAATGTGACAAGGTCGTAGTTATATCAACCGGTGAGCATTTAAACCTAGAAGCTTAAGGCCTCAACTAGGCTTTGAGCCCTCATGTAACTACGATCAGTTTTAGGCGCCGCCCATCCTGCAACGCTACGTGGATTTCTTGTAGTAGAGGGCATTAATTCTGCATTGCGCAATAAAAATAAGTAGTTAACTAAAGAGCTATGTAAATACAAGAAGTCGGTGAGGGTCTTCTGCCCTAGGTCCCGTCATCGTAGTCCTTGCGTAACCGTGTGACAATACGTGACTTCCGTGCAACTCACACATTGACAACTGTGGGCATTGGTAGGATTTAGCTAGCAAGTGCTTCCCACTCCACATGTATTTGTTTCGCAAACCCTTTCTTCGCCGTGCATCTGCTATGACAAAGTTTGAAGATTGGAGGGCCAATATTAAGGTTCGACGTCTCACCCCCCGGGCATTATACCGACCAATCATCATGTCATAGACAGCTACCACATGTCAAGCTTTCAACGTCTAATATCTGATCGGCACTGTGGCTGCGTTCTAGGCTCGTGGATGATGGACAGCGTAGGACAATGACAAGGTAGCTGACAGCAGGGACACCTCTGTGCATGTATATAAAGGTGTGGCCGCCTTCCTACGAGCTGTGGTATGAACAAACGGCGCAAAGACTTTCCCTTGAATGTAAAATCGACGTGCACCTCGGATGGATCCAAATGGCCATGATAGTGCTAAAACTCCTAGGTCGACGGACCAGAAGAGTTCCATCGCCGTTGCCATTATAGGCGGAGGTGTTGCAGGTTGCATACAGGCCATCTACTTGGCAGAAGCTTATCCTTGGCTACGGATTCTGATTTTTGAGAAGAATACGGATATACTAAGTGGGACGAGTCGCATAAATCCTGGAAGATCAAATTTGGGGTTTCACTATCGCCACTTGGAGACGGCCATCTTTTGTCAAGACACAACTGTCAAGTTTGCGAAATTTCTTCGCAGAATTGGATGCCAGCATATCTTTGCGCAGGCGCCGCAGCGTGGAATATATGTCATCATGGAGAGTCCCATACAAGTTTTAGGCAATGTGATCAAGCCTGTTTTCTACCCCGAAGAGGTTGTGCCCGTCTTTGAACAGATCAAGGCCCATGCTATTGAAAAGTACACCGATGATAGGGACTTTGAAAATCTCTTTGGTCCGCCCGAACGAATATGCAGACAGCTTGCACGAAAGGAGTATGAGTCATTCCTAGCGCCGGGGATATTGGCATCAGTCGCGACTTGTTACGAAACAGCCGAGATGACATTTAACACTAACAGCATTTGTTCGTTCTTGAGCAGCCATGTTCAAAGTTTCAAGAATATCTCCATCAGGACAAAAGCCAAGGTCACACAACTGCAAAATATAGATCAGGCGGACGGCGGAGGCTACCGCATCGGCTGGTCAAACTTGCGAAACGGCAAAGACCAGACTGACGCGGTGCAGTTACTTACACTTGCATGTTGGGAGAACATTGGCATTTTCCGACAGCAGCTTAACGAGCCTGGCGGCGGACCAACACACAATCGCCTAAAGATGCTGGGCATCTTGGATATCCACGTACAGGCCGACTTGCTGAAAACGATCCGTCCGATATTCGTTGCATCTGGTCCCTTCTGCATGATCTCTCCCCAGGAGCTCATTGAAGACTCAAACGGCCATATTCATTGCGTATGTGCTTGCACGTTGGCCATTGCAACAAATGTGATGACCGTTTTGGACAGCGAGCCCATACCTTTCTCATACGAAAGAATGCTTAGTGGTACCATGAGCCATGAGGAGAGAATGCAAATGGCCAACCCTATACTATCGGGCGCGAAGCAATACTTTGCCTGCCTCAAGGACGCCGATCTTATTGATGTTCGGTTTGGCACGGTTAGAGTTCCATACGGGGACGGACACAGCATGGATTTACATGACGCAGCCAGTGAGCACCATAGGCGGAATTATCCAGGATGTTACCGACTTGGCGACGGGTTGTATGTTAATGAAGCAATGAAAGTTGCTTATAGTGTCTACAATGCCGAGATGCTGGTAGATTGGGTTGGCGCTGACATTTCCGGCTGACACGCGGCTCACACGCATTTCATGACCTCTTTCATTGGTCATGATAAACTAGAGAGTCAGACTCATCTTGGCTAATGGCTTAATGCATGCTACAGGTCAAGACGAATATATGTTCTTTACGTGGCATATGTCAAGTAGCCTCGGCACCAGTCACATATGAATATCGTCTCTACAATAACTTTGTAGATAGATATATACAACACAAAATATGAGAGCCATGGTGGCCTCGATAATACATCGCTGCCGCTCGATGAGCCACGACACAGATCCAGCATAAGCTCTTCATTCTGGTCTTTTGTAGCTAGCAAGATGAAGGAAAAATATTTCACTTCACGTAACTGGCAGGCAAACAAATAATATGGCATACTACCCCGTATTTATGAATAAGCTGCAACAGTAGTTAGGTGTAGTGGATGGTCAACCATATACATGCAATGCCATCCAATTTCCGTGACAGGTCTGCAGATGGAGAATTCACTCTCGGTTTCGTTTCCAGAGTATCGTGCGGCAGTAACAATGGCATTGAGGGTCAAGATTACCATGTTGTAACTGGAACATAATGATCAAGGCGGCAGCAAAATTTTTAATCATGATATTCATCTATCTCGTAGTGAGGTTGACCTGTGCCGGCCGTCTCAGTTTACAAACAAGGCCCATGGAGAAAATAGACAATTAACGCCGAAGCCGCATTTCTTGTCATGTGCCTTTGCTCTAGCTATCAAGTGTGAAAGTCAAAATAAAATGGTCAAACTAGTGATGAGCCCGTTTAGCTACCATCATGTACATCGGCATCTCTTTCGGCGCCCAGTCCGCCAACTCCTTGGAAGTCTCAAATCCCTTCTCTCGCAAAAGCGCTTCAGCTTCTTCCAATGCTCCATTGTGGTCACAAATCTCCAAGACAATGTTTTCAATCAAGTCCCAGTGTACATTGTCCAGTCCGCGGAAGATGTCCAGCTCCGCACCTTCCACATCAATCTTGAGCAAGTCAATCCGCTTCAGGTCGGGAAGATCGTTTAGAAACCCCGATAGTCGCTTGACGTCGACCTGAACCTGCTCGACCTCGCTTAGCAACTTAATAACAGGGTGTTCAGAATCTGCCGTCTTGATAAACTCTTCTTTTTCGCCACCATGCAAGGTCGAATTGCCGGGCATGTTGGGATAAAAAGTCAACGTCTCGTTGGAATTCTCACGACCCAGCCCGCACTGGTAGACCTGCACGCCTGAAATGTTGTGCAGTTCCATGTTCTTCTTGAATGTGTTGAAAGTCGTCGGTGCGGGTTCGAATGCTAGGATTGTGGCAGCCGGGTATTTCTTCTTCATGTACAGGCTGAACATGCCAATGTTGCCTCCCGCATCAATCATGAAGGCGTCCTCGGGGAAGGGTGCGACATCATAACATTTGTCTTGAAAGATTTCCTTGTGGATGAATTGCGTCTCCATGGCTGCCTTGGGGTTGGCGTAGACGAGAAAACCGTCCGACATTTCTAGTTTCTGTATTTCGGCCGCCATGATTGCGCGAGCGAGATGTTAAATTGTTTGACGAGGGTTTATATTTCAAGTAGGAGATTGAAGTCATAAATAAAGGCGTGGAGGAATTGGTGTTTGGGCATGAAGACCATACTTATACACATATGACCATTGGGCATCCCGGCTGTGTTGCCGAGTCGCACAGATTGCCTGAGGTTCATTTCTTCCACCTTCAAACAGTTTCGTCAAGTTTTGCCAACGGCAGAGAAACAACGGCCATGCATCTTGCCAAGTTATTGAAGCCGCTTCGTCAGCGGACAAGTCTGCTGCATGATGGTCGACGATGTTACACTATAATATCCATATGTAACCCTATCCTGCGTCCGGCCGTTCCGTACCACGGGAGACTTTTCTTTTAATTTTTCCTTCCACTCATAACCTAGCTAGTGTAGCCAAAAAACTTGAATTGCGAAATTCTATGCATTTGGCCTATAGGTGAAAGCAATCGGCATCTCTCGGCGTCCGAACAGCAAGGCAGCGGAAGAGCGAAGTGGCGAGATCTAATTCACATGATTCACACGGTTATCCACTACTATTATACACTCCTCGTGTATATCATTTTTGAGAACAGCTGGTCGATTTTGTCTTGCGGGCATGGGGAAAATAATGAATCAAGCTAGATGAAGCGACAAAACTGACATGATACTATGAGCTCGGCAACCGAAAATCGAGACTGCCCAAGACTATATTACCCCACGATTGAACGAAATAAAACTTCATATTCTGTATAAGTGGGTACGGCAGATGGGCGCATGAAGCGACGTACATGTGTAGCCTATTCGGCAACGGGTCTCCGACCAAGCGTCCAACACGGTGATGCCACATAGCCTCTTGGCACTTTCTTGTACAAATAATGCTTAGGCATCACACTGGCGGTCGGTGCTTCGGCCGCAACCTCTTAAAAGCCGCCTGGCGTGATGAGATGCATATAGTGCAACATCATGCGGAAAAACAAAGGTGGCCATCGGCAGTCGCGCCTTCGGCCAAGGCGTCTCCCATAATTTACAGTTTCTGGTGGCTTTTGACTTCGTAGGACGTCAAATAGGAGCGGGATCGGAGGCATCGGGGCGGAAAACGTGATGCCCCTTCCACACGTGCTTGTCTTTCGGGAAGAATTTTGCCAACCGAGACATCGAGAAATTCCAGCCTATGGTAGCATCGGGCCCCGACATCAATGTTATTGGTCGGGGCTCACAAATGTCAATATCGTGGTCCCGTAGTCGCTCCATATTCTCTGGGAGAGAACATGGTCTGTTATTTCTAGATATAACTGCGGCACCCTTGAAGCGTCCATCAAATTCCCTGTTGTACGATATGGTCATGACTGTGAGTTGCAACAAGCTTCATGGTCTGAACAGTCAATTTATACTCGTTGACGCATATTCTGGAAACCCTTCTTGCCTTTTACAAGAACCTCACATTTCACCATGACGGCATCAAGCCTCATTTTCGCAAGCAACGGGGGTGTGGACAAGACCAGGCTCAAGATCTTGGCCTGCGCCTCCCCCTTCACAGGCCACACGATGCCCATCATCAATATCGTCGAAGTTTTAATACAGCGGGGATATGATGTCACATTCATCGCAGGAGACGAATTCCAAGAAAGAATTGAACGTATCGGTGCCAAGTTCTTCAGCGTTCCCCCTATCCATCTTGTACAGCCAGCGGAGGAGAGAAATCCTTCTGGGCAAATGTTTGCGAGAATCCGGCACAGCCTCCTGAAGTACTTTATCGAGCCAACAGAAGCTCACCAAAACGTCTTGTACAACGTCTTGGAGCACATGAAGAGAGAGGCCCCCATGCACAACATTGTCATCCTGACAGAGACGTTCTATTTGGGACATGTCCCCATGTATCTCGGCGCTGCACTACCACGTGGCTTCACCAAGCGGCCGAGGACAGTCAATATCCACGCTGTTCCATATACTTTGCCAAGTCGGGACACTCCGCCGTTCTGTCTAGGGCTCATCCCCGATGGCAGAGAAGAGAGTCGCGACGCATACCGTGCTCAATACGAAGAAATGGTAACCGTCACATTCGCCGATGTCATGGCGACTCATGAAAAGACGCTTCGAGACCTGGGGGCAGTGAATTACAAGGCGGCCTTGCCTGTTGACGCCCTCGCCACCGCTGCAGATGTCACGCTCCAAATGTGTCCTCCGAGCCTGGAGTACAAGCGATCGGACATTCACCCCAAAGTCAGATTCGCAGGAGCGCTCAACCATCGTCCCGCCAAAAAGAGCTTCGTTCCTCCCAGCTTCTGGGAAGATGTCACTCGTGGGGACAGGATCGTTGTCGTAATTTCGCAGGGAACCATTGCTGTCGACTACGCAGATCTACTTATACCCGCTCTTCAAGCACTCAAGCATCGTTCAGACATTTTTGTCGTTGCCATTCTCGGCCAGAGGGGGGCAAGTCTCTCTGCTGAGGTTCAAATACCGCCCAATGCTCGGGTCATAGATTATCTTCCGTATGATGCCGTTCTCCCTTATGCCTCCGTCTTCGTCATGAATGCAGGCTATGGTGGGTTCATCCAGAGTGTTTTGAACGGAGTGCCCATGGTTCTGGCGGGTGGTTCGGAGGACAAGCCTGAAGTGGCTGCTCGTGGCGAATATTCTGGTGTGGCCGTCAACCTGAGGACTGCGACGCCCTCGGAGGAACAGATTCGTGGAGCAGTCAGCGCAGTCTTGGGCAATCCAAAGTACAAGAAACGCGTGCTGGAAGTCAAGCAGGAAAACGAGGAAATGAGGGCAATGGATACTGTCGAAAGAGCGATTCTTGAGATGGCTGCTCTCAGCTGAGGCGGCGTTACGAGATTCCAAGTCGAAGTATGCAAGATGTATGGAGACACTTCGCCCTTGTGAATGATACATACAGTATTGAAGGCTGCTTGGTCTGTATGAATTCTTCATTAATGACAGAATTCAAAATTCAACAGAAAAATGCAGATGTGTTGGGGTGTTTCTGCGAGGCAAGCGTTGCCTTTGATACAGGTAATAGTTCTTTGGGTTGGACCTGTTTCTATACCAGCATACTTTGGCCGAGGTGTACCGGGCTCTGAAAACAAATTCTCCACTCTTCCTGTTTTACATATATTCAATTACGAATTCTATTCATTGTTCATATTCCACCTTGCCAAGACCCAAGATAAAGCAGTGCTGAGCAATGTTCCGTGACCCTCATTTTCTCACACCACCCACCAAAAGCGGTGGCACGCAGCGCTGTATTCCGCAGGCTTAGCCGCGCTTCGTATGTCTAATGAAGAAGCCCAATGCATAAGTATGCCTGATGTAATGATATTGTACACTTACTTGCATCTTTGAAACCAATACAATTTATTTGACTTTACAGACTTAGGGTTATGGATTCCAGAGCGTCTGACAAGAATGAAGATTCACTTTGCATCTTTAACAACTACCCCGACCACTTGGCAGCCTAGTCCGCGGCGTCTTCCAATTATTTGTACCGACACACGGACGAGAAGAAGGACAGTGATAAAATGAAGTTGCCCTTGCGCGCAATCGCAGAAATATAGGTCGAGGCTGAGAAATTGCGCGACCAACAGGGCACTGACGAGCTCAAATTAGATGTAGAGAGCCTAGCAAATCTACATACTGATGGCTTATATAGAACCCTTTCGAAAGTAGCTGCGCTGCGCTAAACTACTCGCGCTAATAGTATGGTCATGTCGCGGCTTTAATCACTTTGAATTCAAACAAGATTACCTTGCTCGGTTCCCATTGGCTGGACCTGAGCACCTTCCTCGCTAAGCCCTGACACTCCGGCCCGCAGCAAACTTGGCAAGGCGGCGGGCCGAAACGGAATTCGTGGAGATTTAAACGAGCAAGCCAACCAGACACGGTCTTGGTGTGGGTCTCCTCCGCATCTTCCATGGTAGGCCGTAGAAGCGTGACGGTCGAGATCTGCAACTCCTGATGTCCTCAACAAATGTATGGTCAAAGCTCTACAGAGTTCCGCTGACCGAAACACCAACCAACGGCTGTCAGACCCTCCTTCTGGGCCCAGTCACCTAGAAACAAGGTTCATCTCCACGGTTTGAAGATACACCAACAAACAGCATGCACAAACCTAGACATGCCCGGAGCAGGAGGTGGGCTCCAAAGGTTAGAACCGGGTGTCTCACTTGTCGGTTCGTGTTCACACACCCGTACTAGTTATCAAATATCTTGTTATTCCCGCATGAAGAATGTCATTAACCTGAATCCTGGGTACTTGCCAGACAACGTCGAGTCAAGTGCGATGAAGACAAGCCCAGCTGCAATAAGTGTTCATCTACGGGAAGAAAGTGTGATGGGTATGCATATCATAGAGCGCTGGCGAGGCCGACAATCACGCCACAGCCTGATCTTACATTAGCGCCTCCCGGGATTGAATCCAGTCATATGCACAGGCAGGTGTTCACGACGCTCTGCCATGCAACCGTAAACCGAATTGCTGGATGCTTCGACCTTGCATTCTGGGCACGCGACATCTTGCGGGCTACTCAAGTAAGCCCAGCGGTGTGGCACGCTGCTCTTGCATTAGCGGCTATGGATAGTCGGAGAAGGATCCCTGCAGAGACAGAGACACCCGCCCGGCAGCAGTATTATACGTTCTCGCTGTTGGAGTATAACAAGTCCATCCATCAGCTTATTACTATTGCGCGCCGGAACGACGCCATGTCGTTGAACGACCAAGAAACCATACTCATATCGAACGCGCTACTCTTTGGACTATGTTGCTTGCAGGGCCATCAAAAAGAGGCAACGGCGCATGCGCGCAACTCAATCGAGCTTTTCTATCGTTGGAGGTTTTGGGAACATGCAGAGAAATCAGAAGCTTCTGCTACTCGCAGTAGTTTGGTCCATTCTGGCTCTCTAATCGCCTTGATTATGAGCTTTGAGTGTCAATTTATAAACAGACTTGGCCACCTAATAAGCCCTACGTGTCTTGGGGATCGAAAGCTATGGAAATCATCCTCT